AGGAGGATACGCAGAAAAACAAGACCCCGACACACATACATTCCCAAACATCGCACAGCTTGGATTTTCTCTGTTCAAACAGCTTTTCTGGCTGGATGAGAACATGACAACGGTGTCCAGGTTTGCCCAGAAAGGTAAAAGCTTTAGAGTCACACTGCAAATGCTGAGGTTTGGGTTCCTCTGGCAGCTCCCAGCTCCAGCTGCAAGGCTGTGCCATCGGCACAGATGCAGCCGAAGGCAGTCTGGGGCTGGGCTTGACCCTGACTTTGAGGCTCTGTCACAAAGATCTCAGCCATTCCCATTGGTGGGGGAATGAAGAACAAAGACAAGTTGAACCTGCTTAGATTGAACCAACAAACTTGGTCCCTTCAGCCCAGCAGACCTCTCATCCTCCGCAGCAGATCTGCACCAGCAGGGACTGTGGCAGGAGAGCAGCTTTTTGGGATGTGAGACTCCAGCGTCCGTCGCTGAATACTCCCATGGCCAGCAAACAGCAGTTTGTGCTGCTTCATCACGCCTTCCCTACTCCAGAGCAAGCCATGGAGGGCTCCCATCAAGGGGAGCCATGGAGGATCTTTGGAACTCAGGCTTCAAAGCCACCGTGGCTGGCAGGCAGGGACATCCTTTGTGTTGCTGCTGTTCCCAGGACAGAGTGCTGTGGGTTGATCTTTGTGTTTTCCTATAAAACACCCATTTTCCCACCCAGGATATCATGGGGAACCACTCGTGGGAACCAGCAGAGATGGAGTTAAGCACTGCCTGCCCCTGCCTCTCCTGACCAGTGCCCACCACACTCCAAACCAACACAGACAGACCAAATCCTGCTTAAAATAACCCTCCTAGTTAGACATCCTACCACAGAGGATGGGGCTGGATGTCTACTTGTCCAGTAGTGTCACAGGCTGGCAGTGAGTCCCCACACACACCACAGCACCTCGCTGGGGACCGGGAGAGCCGAGTATGAGGACAAGATGTCTCATCCCAGCCCGGACACACAGCCCACAGCAGCGGTCAGTCTGAGGGTGTCTCACCACCCGCGCCGGGAACTGCTGAGCCATACCAACGTGCAAACAGGCTGAGCCAGGCACTCCAAACCTCAAGCCAGGCACCGCTCCAGGTCCCAGTGTGGTGAGAAGGTCTGCTGGGGGACAGCATGCCCACGCTCAGGAGTGACACTAGTTCCCAAGCAGCTGGTCCATGGGAGAGCTGCACACATGCCAAAGGCAACACCTCCAGTAGGGAACGCCAGAAGCCTTTGAGTTCACCTGGCCGGGCCCAGTAGCCTCCCCACGTCCTCAGCCAGGGGCATGGGCAAAGAAGAGCCACTGGGCTCCAGTGGTCTGGATACCATGTGTTTTGTTTGCAAAAGCACAACCTCAGGAGCAGACTCTGGGATGTCTGAGACAGGCTGATCCTTCAGCAGATTTCCTCAGGGCATAAGCTAGGAGAAAAGAGTTTTTTCTGATCTTCTCATGTTACTGAATCTTCCCCTGGTGCGGGGCCGCCAGGCTGGGTTTATGCTGGCCTGTACCAGACACGCTTGAGCACCTCTGAGCATGGTGCAACCCCCTTGCACTTGGATGATACCTCCAGGGAGGTGAGGGACAATGCCAGAGCCTGGAGTTTGACCATTTGGTGGGAGGCACAGAGCAAAACCACCACTGTGTCATCCGAGAGGCTGGCAGTGGGGCTGTGGCACAGCCTGGGCAGCTGCATGGGGGCAGGAGGGGCTGCTTGATGAGCGAGTCTCATTCCCAGTGCCAGCCAGGACAGCAAAGACCTTGGGGAACATCTCAGTTGCTTGCATTCACACATGGTCTGTGAAGCGGAGACAAGCCTTTCTTGTTCGTCTCTGTTCCTGGAGACCAGGCCTGGCCTGGGAAGCTGCTGGGACACGAGCTCTACCAGAGCTCAGAGATCGAACTTTATCTGAGATGATCTGGGCAAACGCTTTCTCCAGGACAACATCCCTTGGAGCTGTTCCCATGAGGACAGCACACAGCTGTGCACCCAACAGAACCCACCAGGGCTCTTCCCACTGGGCTCCTGCTCAGGCAACGGGAAACCAGGTAACTTCACCCAGAGCCCTCTTCCAGGAGCGGAACAGAGGAGAAACTCTCCTTCCCAAAACTCTCTCTTCAGGACCTGAGTCAGCAGTTACTTGCTAGACCTCCAGACAACTCAAGCAGCCAGTGATGCCACCACAGGCTGGGGATGCTGGGACCTCCTGGGAGCACCCTGCCAATGACAGGTTTCCCCAGTGTGTGGCACGGATGCTGTGCAGGGTGAACCCCCTCAAAAGAACATGTTTCTTAGCAAAGTATGAGACGAAGAAGGCGTGAGGTGTAGCAAAACAGTTTGTTTTACGGATTTCAGCCTTCCCCTCTCTGAAAACAAGTTGTTCTGCAATGACAGTTCAAGCTTGCTCCCTTCAAAGCCATCAAAGGAAAATGCTTTAGTGTCTCTGTCTTTGTTTTTCCCTTCATTCAGCCCAAAGTGCTCTCGGCTGTGCCCAGTTACCCAAACAGCACCTCCACAGTGATACAGCCTCTCCCCACCAGCACTTCCCACTCCTCCCTCACTGCACTCCAGGCAGCCCCAGCACCCCAGGCAAAGCAGTGAGAAAGGTTTCCAAGGCTGTTTACCCTTTTCTAAACCCTTCCCTGTAGTGGAGGGGCCCACGACAGGACCAGGACAGGAGAGGGGAGCCGGCTCACATCGCTTTACCTCAGAGAGCTTGACACGTCCCTCCAGGAAGGAGCAGTCAGCGGCGTTGTGGGTGCAGATGTGTCGGTACTTGCACCAGTGGCAGGGGAAGGAGCCGTTCACACAGGACAGGCAGCTGTGGAGAGAGAGAAGATGCCAGCGTGAGGGCAGCAGCGAGGTAGGGTCTACCAGGGCACATCTCGGGATGCTTCAGCGGGACAGCATCTGTAGGCAATCCCGTATCTCCAGGTGGGAAGGATCCCGCCACACGGGGCGAAGGCTGTGCACCAGCAGGCTACAAAAGATGCCTGCCCAGCCCAGACCCCTGGGGTTGCCCATGGCAGAGTGAGGGCAAACAGCCTTTCTGGCACCGCAGGGTTTGTGTCCCAGGCAGAGCAGCCACATTCCCTGCTCTGCTTGGCAAGCTGACCCTGCCCACCCTGCTCGTGGGCAGGGGCCGAGGTCTAGACTTTGGGAGCTTTATTTGGGTTTGCTGAAAGGCGATTCTAGCAAGAGGCGGCTGAACAAGGGCTCTGCACCACAGGGGAACAGGGGAGAAAGGGTCAGATTAATGCATGCTCATTGAGAGGAAAATTATAACTGGCGAAAGGTTGGGTCAGATTAACATTTCGGGACTGTAGCGCCTTTCAGGCCCTCACAATAGGTTGTGTGTGACTCTCTCCCTTGGCCCCCCTTGGCCTGAGCCCTCTGCAGCCGCGCGTGCGTGTGTGTGCTTCCACCCCCTCCCTCCTCCAGCTCGAGACGTTTCCGTCTCTCCTCTCCAGGTTCTTTGTGTGGTGGGATCACGCGTGCCCCCCTCTCCTCACCTCTCCTGGAGGATGCACTTGGGCTCCCAGGGATAATGATGGGAGCCTCTTTCTCTGCTCTGCACCCTTCTTGCCAAAGAAACCAACCCCAGGGACTTGATGCCTCTCTCCCAAGCAGGAGGGGATGTACAGGGTCCCCACCCTGTGCAACCATTCACACAAGCATCACCCAAACAGCCTGTCCCCTTGTTAGCCACCCGTCAAAAACACCAGGAGGCATCCCTGTTTGCAAGCACGAGGATCCATCGGACCCCCAGAGCCAGAGGGTGGCTTTCAGGGCCCTCACCCCTACAGGGGGACGGAAGGGGTTGAGTCTTCCCCTTTGTGCTGTCCCAGGGCAGCAGCGAGGTCCTACAAGACTTCGCAGGGCAGGTCTGTACCTGGCATGTCCCATGCAGCCCGAACTGCCCTTCCAAGGAGAAGATGGGAAAGCTGCTGAGGCATAAAGTTCAAAAGAAGAAAAATAGTAAGCCTGGCTTTAACAAGGAAGAAAAAAAAAAAAGGGAGGAAAAAAGAGAAAGCATCCTTTTTCTCCCCAGAAGGCTCTTACCTGCTCTCACCGATCCCAGTGTGAACAGGATCGGGCCCAAAGCAATTATATTTAAACAAAGGCAGGATCTTCCCATCAACACAGCTCTGTCAGGAGACAGGCAGCCCTGCCCAGCCTGATCCCGCTCCTAAATCACAGCGACCTCTCTGCCTCTACCCCGGGGGAAACGACAGGGAAAAACGCAGCGTCCCTGTGCAAGGCAGTGGAAAGAAAACCTTCCTGGAGAGGAAGATCCTCGGGTGGCAAGACCTGGCACATCGAATCCCTCACCCTCCAGCACATTTGTCGCTCTGGAGGTGCGGGATGGCGCAGGAGGGAGCCGCAGGAGCACGCTGGGCACTGGCAGCTCGAGGTGAAAACACACACTTAGACCTTTGCAGGGCCACCGCTCCCTGCCCGCCCTGGGGTTTCACACACCATTACATATACAGCAAGAGCTTCCCAAATCCATGCGTGCACACTAAGGAAATATTTAATTAAGCTGCTTGCAAAGGGGGCTGGAAGTCATTTCCATGTTCCGCTCACATTTTCACTTCCAAATGAACAGCCCTTTTAGCTTTACCCACAAATATGCTAATTGAGATGCTCCTTATGCAAATATATGCAATTTTATTTCAGCTGCAGAGTTTCAACTTAAAAGCAGAGCCATAGCCTCCTATCTCTGGTTGCTTTGATGGAGTGAGGAGCAGAGGGTGGGGGGAGTGGGGGACACAAACAAAGCAAAAGGAATACTCTTGCTCTCCCCCTCCCAGTAAGGGCTGAACATGGACCGGTGGGCAGGCAAATCCAAGATGTGAAGGCAGCAGGGCAGGGAAAGTTAATCCTCATGGAAGTAGAGCAACCACAGAGAGATCATGTAAGAGAGGAGCGTGGTGCAAGCAGTCACAAGCCACATGCCAGGGCATAATCACTGACCCTCCCATGAGACCCTCTCATGAAAACGGTCCATCGCAAAGGAGAGATTTTCCAGCCACCTGGTCTTGCCTGGTCTGCAAAAAGACTCCTCAGTCTCTCCTCCACCTTATGAGGCAGCTCAAAGCAGTTGGGTGAAGCACCCTGCACAGCCCTGCCCTGGCCACCTCACCCCCAAGAGATGCAGTTCCTCAGGGCCAAAGTCAAATCTTGGCTAATTTGGGACCCTCCTCACCTGAGGGTCTCTTTAGCCATTTAACTACTGCAGGTCCCAGCTGGTCTCCACTTGCTAAAGGACCTAAAGCATCTCAAGTTGTCCTCCACCCTGAGGTGCATGGCTTCCCCCCGACTACTTCATTCACCCC